AAGGAAAGAAGAGAACCCTGAAGGGGTGGGGAGGATAAATTTAAACACAGAAGGGCTAAGATGAAGTGTTTTCTGCTGTCAGCAGCAGTGGTGGCTTAGGAACAAGTGTTCAGTTACAGAGAAAAAGAAAAAATGAAATTTCTGGATATAAAATTTTTATCATAAATTTTCAAACTTCTCTGCCAGCTCTGTCTAAATCTTTCCTAGTTTTGTCAGTGACACTGTCATCTTACCACTCACCACTTTCTCTTTATCATTCAAACTATAAAGTCACCTCTGACCACTCTGTGTGGGATGCCAGGGCTGGGGGTTGGGGAGAGGGGGATTTAACGGGCTCTGAAGCTGTTTTGTAAATTTAACCAAACATGAATGAGGGGGGAGAAAGGTGTTTTGTTTTTTTTTTTAAAACCTTTTAGAAGGCTTCCTGAGCATCACATAGTGGTTTAAATAAATAAATAAATCCCCTCAAAACTCAATGAATTAATTTAAAATGTCAATGATTTAAAAACATAAAGATTACTTTGCCCCTAAATCACCCATGTAAAGAAAACGATGTTTTGCAGAAATGAACGTGGCTTATTATTGATTCCATAACATTTGGAAAGTGGCAGAAAGAGGCACGCTTGTTCACAGACAGTGGAATCAGCGTTTGCTTAGTGATCAAATGGGATGTACAGTTCCATGCAAACAAATTATGGTAAATTGGGAGAGGGGCCACTGGGGCTTTGCACAGCTGGATTTTGGAATCTGTTTAAGACCATGCCCTCCAGGTCTGCCGGTTGGTCCCTACTACAAAGACTCCTTTTGGGTCTGAAGCTGAAGTTGTTTGTTTACCCAGGGATGTTGGTTCACTCACTCAGTAACTTCTGTGGTGGTTTCTCTTAGAGTATCTCTCCAGTCACAGCAATCCCCACTTCCGTGAGAGGTGTCTTCTCTGACAAACACTTCTGTGCAGTAAGCTCTCCTCACTGCCACCTGCCCCTTACTCAGTGGTCTAAAGATTTGACCCAGATTCTTGGATTAACAACGAGAAGGAGAGTCCATCTCTGTGTGTGCTGAATGACTGCAGGCAAACTCTGGACTGCGGGAGCCCATGATCTGCCAAAAGGACTAGAGCAAGAAAACCAGCTGGTCTGTAGGGTCAGAGATGAAGGCAGTACCAGGATTCCAGAGAGAACTCCCTGGGGCCCTGGCAGCCAACCTTTTTTGGATCCTGGCTCACTGTTTAGAAAAACAGAGTCAGCTCTATTTTTCTGCCTTTTGGTTCTAAAATTCATTCTTGGGATTCTCCTAAGAAAATGTCTTCCTTTTTCTTTTTGCTTACCCTAGCTCAACTCAAGTTAATTCCTGTTACTTAAAACCCCAAGAGTTATACTCGGAGTTACCAAAACCCAATGTTTGGGAAACAAGGTAAGGGGATGGGCACATGACAAAAGGAAGACAATAGTTAAAACAACAATTTTTTAAAATATGGGATTTAGATATGACACAAAACGCACAACAGACAAAATAGAAAAAATAGATAAATTGGACTTCATCAAGATGTAAAACTTTTGCACTTCCAAGGATACCATCAAGAAAGGGAAGAAACCCCTTCAGAACGGGAGAAAATATTTACAAATCGTATATTTGATAAGGGATATATATCTAGATTATATAAAAAACTTTTACAATTCAACAATAAAAAGACAGTAACCCAATTTAAAAATGGGCAAATGAGGGGTACCTGGGTGGCTCATTCAGTTAGGCGTTTGACTTTTGATTTCCGCTCAGGTCATGATCTCAGGGTCTTGGGATCGAGCCCTGCGTCAGGCTCCGGCTCCAGGCTCAGCGTCGAGTCCCCTAGAGATTCTCTCTCTCCCTCTCCCTCTGCCCCTCCCCCCCTCGTGCTCTCTAAATAAACAAATAAAATCTTAAAAATAAAAGGGCAAATGACTTAAATAGACATTTTGTCAAAGAAGATATGTAAATGGTCAATAAGCATGAAGATGTTCAACATCATTATCATTTTGGGAAATTCACATCAAAACTAGAATGAGGTATCCATCCATATCCACTAGGATGACTATAATAAGAAAGCTGGGTAATAACAAGGGATCGGTAAGGTTGTGGGGAAATCGTACCCTCATGCACTGAGGGTAGAGATGTAAAACAGTGCAGCAGCTCTAGAAAACAGTCTGACAGGTCCTCAAAATGTTAAACATAGAATTACCATATGACCTGGAAATTCCACTCCTAGGTATATACCCAAGAGAAAAGAAAACAAATGTCCACACAAAAACCTCGTACATGGATATTTGCAGCAGAATTATTCAGAATCGCTAAGAACTGCAAACAACCCCTATGTCCATCAACAATGACTAGATAAACCATGTGGGGCATATCCAGACAATGAACTATTATTCATTCATAAGAAGAAATGAAGTTGGTACATGCTACAGCCTGGATGAACCTTGAAAACATTATGCTAAGTCAAAGAAGTCTATAACAAAAGACCATGTATCATATTATTCCATTTATATGAAGTGTTCATTGAGACCCCCTTTAGGGGCTGAAGAAAGGAGATGGGGAGCGACTGCTAATAAATATTGGGTTTCTTTTTAGCCTGATAAAAGTGTTTGAAGTAAATATTGATGATCAATACACAGCTTATGAATATACTTAATAAACATTATACTTTAAAGGGGGTAAACTTTATAGTATGTGAATTATATCTCAACAATGCTAGAAAATAAAATTTTATTTAAAAAAATGTGGGGAAGAAATATATTGCCCCAACCTAATCCCTTAAAAAAACCGTAATCACACTTATAGTGAAATCTAAGGCAAGTTTTAACTGGCTGTGTAAACTTGGCCAAGTTGCTTATTTCTCTAAGTCTCAACTGTTTCTCCTGCCAAGTGGGAATAATGATGATATATCCCATAAGGTCATTTTAATGATTAAATGAGGTAGTTCATATAAATCAATAGAAAATGGCAGAAGTGATGCTGTCTGAGGTGAAAGGCCATCTTCTTTCTACTGTGTGATGGTGCCCACTGTCCTTCTGAAAGGGGTAAGAATT